ATAACATCGGTTTTTAATGAAATGTAATAGGTACGTCGTACGTGTCCAAAGTCATCCCATTTTAAGGGTCACTCCGGACGTTATTCAACTTTAAAAAAAAAGTGTGAACTTTAATGACCTTAATGATTATTTTTCTGTTATATGATCTTCTTTTCACTCATTATAACAGTACTTTATTTACTAGTTAGGTATAATATATAAAAGTTTAATTTGGATAATAAGAATATTGTGTTTTTTTGGTCGAAAATATTGGTTATTTGTAATTACTATAATTTATAATTAATCTATGTGGTATATAATATTATCTACAAGTTACAACCGTGAAATAACGTAAATATATAAATAAAGTACCTAGTTGATAGATACACTTGACGTGGCCCGCATTAGTAGCAAGTGTACAAGCACTATAGCGGCCTGTATATCTTATCTCCGACCACCACTACAAGATGCAAGCAGCGCGACCGGGTCGACTCTCCCACCGAGCCAGTATAATAGCAAGGCGGGATGAGGGACCGTGTAGCGTAATACGTACAACCAGGGCCGGTTTTAGTGGGGTTGCAGGGGGTGCATTGCACCGGGGCCTCAAGACAAAGGTTGTATTAGGGGGGCCTCAGGTTGAAGTCCTAAATTTTCTAACTTTCTATAACACTGTATTATAGAATGAACAAATTTTATTATTTTAAGATGTTACTGACAAGTGACAACCATTTATTTTGACCGTTTGAATTTTCGATAATACTATTTATCAGTGGTATTGTTTGTTACACATATATAATATATTTGTACACACATAAATTATAAAATATAGTATGCATCGTATACTATTATCGTATAATCGTAGGTACTGTTTATATTTTAATCTCAGAGGCTCGCGCAGTCGCGCTAGTGCAGTATCTTGCTGGACAAACTAATAAGATAACCGTGGTTATATTTATTTATTGTTTAATATAAACGGATTATGATTTACGGACCTTGGTGCAGTATTATTGGTTTCGGATATGTTATTTTGCACTTTTGTCAGTTTTATTACTATTACTATTTATAGTTTATAATTACTTTATTTACTCTTTTAGAACACATTTTGAAAAAATGTACCATAAATGCCAAAAAAGAATAAATATAAAAAAAAAGCAAAATAAAGTGTCATGCAAGGTTAGGTATTCTAAGTAGTTTAAATCAAATCCTAAAAGTCAAAAGTTAATTTAGAGAACTGTACCTAGGTACTGTTGTACTTATTCACTGATAAGCTTTGTCAATAAAGTAATTATTATTTTAATTGCACATAGTACCTACCTAAAGTGATAGTACTTACAACTTTTAATTATTTTAAAGAATAACTACCTAACCATTTTTAAAAAAAATTCTTTCTACTCAATTCAAACTGCAGTGATAATAAGAAATAACATGTTTATGTATACCAGCTAAATTATATTAAATCCATAAATGTGTACTGATTTATTTTCATCAAAAACCATTATGTACAGAGTAGTGTATACAGCGTGATTGAACAAAATAACATATTGAAACAGATTGATATATGCGTGTTACACAATATACATTTAAACAAAACTGTATGTGATATGGGATATTGTGATAAGGGCATTTAAATCCGAGTCCTACTTAAAAGTTATAACTATTTTCCAGTCCACAGGGATGGGTTAAAAGTTAGAATCGATTAATATAATACAGGTAATATATGATGCAAAAACATACCTAATCAGGTAGTACCTATACATATATCTTTGGTGTATGGTATAAATGTCAAAAACTACATTTTTGGCTAAAAGTATGATTAAAATCCAACATTTTTATATTTTTTTGATACAGACTATAAACCATGTCAAAAAAAACTGTTTTGGTCTAAACATTTTAAGTCACATTATATTGGGTGCAAGACACGTATGGCTAGTTAATATTTGAGAATCTGACATAAATAATTTTAAAATGGGTTAATATCTTAAGTCAAGTTTATAGTTATAATTTTAAACGCAAGCCCTGTTAGTGTAAGTCATATTTTAAAATAAAAATCCAACTATCTTAAGTCACTCAAAAACCACGAATAATTTATTTTAAATTTCTACATACAATTTATAATTAAATATTAAATTAAACTAATTATCAACCAAGACATCATTATCAACGATTTTGAATGATGTGACTTCTCGATCATATTTGTCATGTTCTCCGCGAGAGTCATGTGGCCGCCTCGAACATTTCACGGTCGCCAACCACGGACCGAGACCCGAAAGCCGGAGTGCCGTGGATTTTTTTTTAGTATCCAAGAACGGGAATACATCTGAAACAGTAATAGGAAGTTGACCGACGGTGAAATAATAACACCTCAATTTGGGGAAAATATATATATATATAGGTTTATTGGAACAAATTTAGGCTTTAAGTTGGTGCCGAGAAAGCCGAAGGCATAAAACTCGGTCGAAATAAATTATGGTAATAATAATAATGCATAAAATAATAATAATGCATTTTAAATAATAATGATGCATTTTACCAAATAAAATATAAACATTACTCACCACACGGCTCCGACGGAGCGGTTTACCGGCGGGAGAACAACAATAACGTACCATAATACACAAGTAGGTTAGGTTAAAATCGATGATTAAATTAGTTTAATGGTTTGTTTTAATGAATGATTAAAATACTTTTAATGAACCGATTAATGTACTGATTAATTAACCGTGTTGCATAAAAGATGTATTAAACTACTTTTGGTTTATACCTAGTATGTGGTTTTTGATAATTTTGTTATCACCAAATTGTGAAGATAATATTAATTATTAATACAAATCACGATTAAAGATATATATATATATATATATATCTTTAATCGTGGTACAAATTGAAAATATACTCATATATATAATATAATGATAATATTATGGTAATTGCCAATTGGTAACTCGTATCGGTAGGCATATTAGCTATCTTGAGATTTGAGAAAAAATTATAATTGTGTGATAAACCGTTGCATAGAAATTTAGTGAGCCGAAATCTGATCACTAATTTAATGATCTGGTAACCTCCAGTTTAAGGAACCAATAAGTTTAATGACCGTTTAGTGAGCCATTAAATAATTTATTCATTCAATAGCGCGCTATTGGTTCATTAAATGTTTAATGAACGTTTATCCAACCCGGCATAAAAGTCTTAAAGTACCGGCCACGGTG